GAACAAGTCACAGAACAGGATCAAGTTTGTAGGCCAAGGTTCCATTGTATAGGAGAAACTTCATGGAACATTGCCCACAGGCCAGAGAACACCAGCAAAATGTATAATACAACAAGAAATGTATGTATTATGCAGACACTGACAATCATCTCAATAAAGGGACAGATGCTTAAATAGTTATTGAGGAATGAGACAAAGATGGAAGATGTTTAGAATCTGCTGTTATTAGTATTTCTAGCACTATTACACAGAACCACTGTAGTTTCATGTTAGCTAAACCTTTAGTTTAAACCATATTTGCAAGTTATCATTTGTCCAGAAGCCCACATAACCAGGTGTATAACCTGCAGTGCCCCCTAAACCTGAGATGCTCTAATGCACTTCAGTGTCCTTTGTCTGTTCCTGCATATATATGCCCTTTTCTTATGTATTCTGTAATGACTTAATAAAGGCTACTTTGTCGGTAAAACATCCACTGCCTCTAGGTGTCATTTACTCCTCGTTAGTATTTACATACTTTTCCAGTTCCACATATATTTTTGTTTGGGTTTAAGGTGTCCATCCCATAGTGAAATTACATTTAGCCTTCTTGGATAAGTAGATTTGGCTGCTTCATTTAAAAAAATTTAAATTTACTTAATATTGCTGAAACATTATTTATCCTAAGCCTTATCAAAAGTTTTATGGATGTGTTGCAGGATGGATATGGATATATAAAGGAAGAAAGTTGAAAGTGAACATAGATAAGAGTAAGGTGATGAGGGTATCAAATGAGTTAGGTAAAGAAAAAGTGGATATCGCATTGGAGGGAGGGAATGTGAAAAAGTGAATGTATTCTTATATTTGGGAGTAGACTTTACATTGGATGGATTTATGAAGGACAAGATTAACCATAGAAGTGATGAATTACAAAAGGTGAGTGGTGCATTGAGGTATCTGTGGAGACAAAGAAGGGAATGTACGAGAGTATAGTGGTACCAGCACTCTTGTATGGATATGAAGCATGGGTTGTAAATGCTGCAGTGAGGAGGAGGCTGGAGGCAGTGGAGATGTCGTGTCTAAGGGCAATGTGTGGTGTAAATATTATGCAGAATTCAGTGTGAAAATTAGGAGAAAGTGTGGAGTATTTACTACAGTCATAAGTAATAAAACGAGTGATGGTAGCATTGAGGTGAAGGGAATCACAGTATACATAAATTAAGCATACAATCGTAAACAGTATGTGACGGGTTTTCCCCGTTACCTCTACTAAGCTTTACTGCTATGGAAGTGCAGGGGAAAGTTACCGTAGGCCTAGTGCTGTGTGAACAATATAACGATCCCAGTGCAGTGCAGTGAAAAGAAAAGTGTATCTTGAATGAATACATTGTATATCCTTAAGATAACCAGTGTACAACACAGTGTGACAAAATACCAGTGATAAAATAAATGGAAATAAAATAAAAAACAATAGTGAAGTGTGGCAGTGGTGGGACAATCTACTTGTCCTGGTGTTGACATGTGACAAGTGATACACCAAGGTTTCAGTTACCACATATAACGAATAGACTAGGATACCCAGACATAGTTAGACTAGGATACTGAGACAGTTAGGTGGTACCACACAGTGGGTCGTGTTTTGTACCAAAGGTCTGTTTCTCATCTCATAAGGAATATAGTGAATATAGTGCATAATATATGGAATATATTCATGGGTCGACCATCACCTGCGAAAAAAAAAAAATTGTCAGAGGTGACAGTGAAGTGCAAACTATCATACAAGTGTTATAACGAGGAAAAAAGGATATAAATAAGCAGTGATATAGTAAACTGAACCTATGGATAAGAGTTAATTCTTTTAATCCCGAGTGTAGTGTAAAACTATGGTATAAATTATATGGGAACAAGTGGGGAAGTGCCACCCACACCCCACCTCCCAGCCCCCGCCTCGTGCCCCCAACCCATTCCCCAGATCCTACACCACCCAACCAACAATTCCATCCCCCGGCATCCCTCCTCGCACCCTCACCTTCTTTCCACAGACCCCTATCTCCCAGCTTACCACCCCACTGCACAGCCCCCTCCTCCTATTGTCCCTACCCTCTACCCAAGGATACCCACCCCCCACCTACCAGCCACTCCACCACCAGCCGCACATAATAAATACACCATCCACCACATACACCTGTTTAAAAGTAATCATGGCCAGGAATAAAGGCTGTTGTATATATGAAAAAATCTTTGGGAGAAACATAAGGGGCATTGATTGTGAAATATGCAGTAAAACATCACATATATCATGTACAAAGCTGCATGCAACCATGACAAATGACCAAAAACACGAAAGTCGTTTCTGGATTTGCCCCAGTGAAAGGGACAGCTGGTTAAGCATAAGAGAGGTACTGAAAAGTGAAAACCTAGAAAACCCAAGGAAGTTTCTAAGGAGCTTGCCAGAGTTATACAAAGAGTGGAAAACGGGAAAAGGAACAAGAAAATGAGGAAAATGCAAATAGAGGTGAAAACCAAGGAGTGAAAGTAAGAGTAAGCGCAGAGAGATCACTGAATTAGAGCAAAAACTTAGGATGTCATACCTCACAGAAGAAGTACAAAGGGAACAAAAGGCCATACAGGACATTGCAAGAAACCCAAAATAGTTCTATTCCTACACAAAATCCAAGCTAAGAACTACCTGTAGAATTGGACCACTACTGAGAGGAGACTCGTATACTGACGATGAACAGGAAATGAGTGAAATCCTAAAAGAACAGTATGAGCCGGTGTTCAGCAACCCACTAAATGACAGCAAGGTAGAAAATGCAGAAATATTTTTCACCCAGAAGAAGGCCGTGCAGACCAACTAACTGACATTAGTACAAATCCCATAGATTTTGAAAAAGAAATGGAAAACATGCCCACTCACTCAGCACCTGGACCAGATTCATGGAATGCTCCATTTATAAAGAAATGCAAATTACCTCTAGCATGAGCCCTCAGTACTCTTTGGAGAAAGAGCTTAGATCTAGGTAAAATACCAGAGGCCTTAAAGAGTGCAGACATAGCTCCTTTGCATAAGGGAGGTAGTAGAGCACTAGCTAAAAATTACAGACCAGTAGCCCTAACCTCACATCATAAAAATCTTCGAAAGAGTGATGAGACGGCAGGTTACAAATTTCATGGAGCAGCACAACCAACATAACCCAAACCAGCATGGCTTTAGAGCATGACGATCATGCCTGTCACAGCTGCTGAGCCATTATGACAGAATTACGGAGGCACTGGAAAACGACAAAAATGCACATGTGATTTACACAGATTTTGCAAAGGCGTTTGACAAATGTGATCATGGAGTGATAGCGCACAAAATGAAGGCCATGGGCATTACGGGGAAGGTAGGCAGATGGATTTTCGGTTTCCTAACACACAGAACACAAAAAGTAGTAGTGAACAGGGCAAGATCCAGCATCAGCGAGGTCAAAAGCTCAGTGCCCCAAGGCACTGTCCTGGCACCTCTGCTGTCCCTCATGCTCATAGCAGACATAGACAAAAACACCCGGCACACTTTTGTATCATAATTTGCAGATGACACTAAAATGAGCATGAAAGTCAGTATGGTAGAGGACACTGAAAAAGTACAGGAAGACATAAACAGGGTTTTCCAGTGGGCAGTGGAAAACAACATGACGTTCAGTGGTGATAAGTTCCTGCTGCTTAGATATGGAAAGAATGAAGAACTCAAAAGGAGCACTATATACAAAACTCAAGAGGGTCACCAAAATAGAACGGTAAGGAACATGTAATAAGGCTAGGAATAATATGTCAGCCGACCTTTTTCTTTAAAGACCATAACACTTTCAAAGATCACGCACAGCCAGGAAAATGACTGGGTGGGTATTGAGAACTTTCAAAACAAGGGAAATAATGCCGATGGTGACCACCTTTCAAATCGCTAGTGCTTCCATATCATTAGAAATATTGCTCATGTGCTGACGGCCCCGTTCAGGGCTTGGTCCCAAATCTGCACACTGCCATAACAACATACTGGAGTGAGAGATATGGAAGGAAGTGTAAAATAAACCCAGTGAGCAGCAGGGGTGCGGTGGGGACACTAAGGGAATACTGTATCAACATCCGGGGTCCCAGACTTTTCAACATCTTACCAGAAGATATCAGAAACACTGCTGGAACAAGTGTTAAAGCCTTCAAGAGGAAACTAGACAAGTATCTTCACCAGGTGCCAGATCAACCAGGCTGTGATGGATATGTGGGGCAGCGGGCCTCCAGCAGCAACAGCCTGGTTGAACAGGCAAGCACCAGACGAGCCTGGCCCATGGCCGGGCTCAGAGAGTAGATATGTTCTCGAAATTCTTCAAAGGTATATCAAAGGTAAGGTATATTACTAAAATATTATTCAACGGGCTGAGGAGGGGTTGTTGAGGTGTTTTGGTCATTTAGAGAGGATAAAGCAAAATAGGATGACTTGGGTGTGTAAATCTGAATTGGAGGGGAGGAGAGGTAGGGGTTGTTCTAGAAATGGATGGAGGGGATAAAATGGGTTTTGTGCACAAGGGGCTTGGATGTACAGTAGGCATGTGTGAGCATGTTAGTTAGGAGTGAATGGAGATGATTGGTTTTTGGGACTTGACAAGCTGTTGGAGTGTCAGCAGGGTAATATTTTATGAAGGGATTCAGGGAAACTGGTTAGCCGGATTTGAGTCCTGGCAGTGGGAAGTATGATGCCTGCGCTTTAATGGAGGGGTTTGGGATATTGGTTATTTGGAGTGATATCTGAACTGTTGTATCTGGGCACCTCTGCAAAGGCAGTGATTATATGTGGATAATGGTGAAAGTGTTTTATTTTTCTGGGGGGGGGGGGATCACCCTGCCTCGGTGGGAGACCGCCAACATGTTGGAAAAAATAATTATTTTATTTTTGATTAATATCTGTTGAAATGATAATTGTCATTTCTCATGTATTGAGGTAATGATGATTAACTTTATTAGTAAACATTTCTCTTCCGCAGGTTACATCAGATATCCAACTGTATTGCTAGACATGTCAACTTACCCATACCTCCCTGGCCTCCCTGATGATGATGATGAAGATTCTGCTTCTGCCCATGGCAGAAAGAGATTAGCATTGTTTTCTCGGCATAAGAGGTCTAATCAATCAAATACATCTGGGCAGTCTCAGAAACAAGGCCAGAATGCTGGGCAGAAAGATAAGGAGGGACATGGTCAAGGGCCTAATACTGGATCTGGAGGTCAAAGTGGAATTCAGGGTAATGCTGGGCAAGGTGGGAAAACTGCTACACGTTCAGATGTAAAAGAAACTCTCAAGTCAATGGGGCTAAGGTGTGAAGATTTCACAATCAGTGTTTACTCTAGGGAACAAGCACATGCCATATTGAGGCGACAGGGAGTAGAAGTAACACCAAATAACCTGCCACCTAAAGATAAAGCTACAGCGTTATCTGGAAAAGGAGGGTATAAAAATGCTAAATCAACTGAAGTTCCAAAAATAAGTCATAATATGAGAACAGTCAATGCAACAAACAGCCGGAATGCCATTGCACACTATGGCAGTGACGATGATGATGACTGTGTCATTTTAGATCCACCTGATATGCCTAAATGTCCACCAAAGCTTCCACAGCAATTTCAGTTAATGGGTACAACAGTCCAAGTGAATCGTGGAGCTAAACGACCAAGTAGGCCTATGGCAAATCAACCTCAAGCCAAGAGACCAAATGCCAGACCAGCAATGTATTATCGTAAAGATCACGAGCAAGATTATGGTGCAGAGGCATCAGTTCAAGATACATTAAAAAGACTCAAGAACTACAATATATCTATTACATGTAGACGGAATGCATCTGGTTTAAGACCGCAAGGTAGTATGGTAGACAGTGAATCTGATATGGAAAATGATAGCCACTTAGAATCTGATGATGATGGAGAAGATATGACTAAGTACCTTGAGTGTCAGATAGGAGAAATTGAGGATATGCAAGAAATGCAAGAGGAGATTTTTGAAGAGGATCTAGATATTGACTGTGATGATAAAGATGATGCAGATTATAATCCACGTGGTAAGAAGAGAAAGCAAAAGAATAAATCGCCTCGCAAAGGAAAGAAAACCAGTGAATGTGGATCAACTGGAGATAGAGCTAACCGTGACTCAGGAGTAGATGAAATTCCAGAAATAGTTCCAAGTGTAGAAATGGCAGAGTTGAGTGATCAGCAGGTTCGCATCATTCTGAAAATGAATATGATCGTGATCCTCTTGCAGATGAAAGTTTTGACAATCATAAAGACTTGCAAGACATAATGGAAAATGCTGCCCAGTTAGAAGATGATCAAAATCATGACAATAGTGAAGAAAATTACAATGAAGAGAAAGCAAATGAGGACAATCCAGATGGGGAAGAAGAAACAGAACAACCAGAAGAACAGGAAGAACCAGAAGAGCAAGAAGAGCAAGAACCAGAAGAGCAAGAACAAGAACCAGAAGAAAATGGTGAATATAGAACTGGAGAGGAAAGCAAGGAAGAAACTGAAAATATTTTAGGAGAATTTGTGGAAACTGAGGAAGCTGGATCTCCTGCACCAAAGGAAAGCAATACACATGATGATGAAGAAGAAATAGATGAAGAGCTAGAAAAAGAGCTTCTTGGTGGAGATATAGGAGATGGAGAAGAAGGTGAAATGGAAGACTTGTAAACATGTAAGTTTTCTCAGCATTTGAAGTATTTTATTAAATTTGTTAATTTTTTATGGGGAGGGGATTGATTACCAATTCTGAAGTCATAAACAGGAATACAGAATGTGGTCATGTCTCGTACATCTACCTTTTTCTTTTTTGCTGATGACTAAATTGTCTTAACAATTTCCATTAGTGGGGGTATTCACACCCTGTTGGTGCAACATATTAAAAAGTTTACAAGTAAAATCTAAGTAGGATTTTGAACTAGAAATGACTTTGTGGTTGTGTAGATTATTTACAAATATTCGGTGTAGAGAGACTATTGAAGCTGAGGTTTGATTTAATTTGAAGCTCATAAGCAGTTGAGCATATTAAGTATTTCCTCCCCATTTTAAATTTATTTTAGAATTTTTAAGTGCATAGTAATTTGGAATACTTGTTTCAAGGGAAAACTTGCAGCACCTGAAAGTACAAGGAATATGAAGAATTGGATTTGGCACGTAGCTACTACAGTGTTCATTTACCAGATGTGTGGACATACTTTGCTAGATATTTAGTTTCTCATTTCCATTTATTGAACCTTATCTTACCTGAGATGCACATGATTTGTGAGAGAAATTCTTGACAAACTTAAATTGGAAATGAAACCTGGACATCTTTTCTGTCTGTTTTCGATCATTATCAAGTCGCATGAAAATGGTCCATGGTAGATAGAAATGCCATGAAGCTTTCCTTTCCAATTTGTGAGTTTATGTAAATAGTTCCAGTCACAATATATGTGATTTATTCTTTGAGAGAGAGAGCATTAATTTTGAGATATTGCACTGCAAGATGCATTTTGATATTTTCATAATTTTACAGAATTCTTCTGTTACTTTAAAATTATCACTTTCATTTCTTCTAAAAGTATCTAATTTGTTAGCACCACTGCATATTTATACAGTGTCAAGGTGTTAGTTATCAGACATCAGTTGAAAAGGATATTTAAGGTGGTAAATTTTATATAAAAAAAAAATGTGGTAGAGTTTAAAGTATCAGTATTTTTAACCCTTTAGATTTCCATAACTTGGGAATGACTACAAATTCATAATTGATTATACAAGAGTTAACTTCTCCATATTTTTGCATGCTGTATGAAGTTGACAGTTAAAAGAAGCTTGTTTCAGAATATACAAGATTACTAGGACAGAATAGTGCTTGAATAATTAATTGGTGGCATATGCTAATATAAATTTGTAATTTAAAATTTCTTGGCCTATATCTTTTTGTTCTTTTTCTCTCCAGGAATTTGGGGATAGAAATACTGTTAGAAGATTTGGTCACTTCATGTGTAAGTTTGCTTTAATTTGCATTATCAAATGAACTTATTTTTTTATTGTGATATTTTAATTGAAGATGTTAGTTACATTGCCATAAGCAACTGAGCAGGCTGGGTCTCATTAAAAAATGTTCACGTGAAAACTCAAACCTAATTTGAAAGTGACTGATATAAGAGGGTCATAATTAGATATTAAGTATGTATAAAGTGTTAGCCTCATGTGACATCAGGTTAAAATTTAGAACATTTGTCATGTTAAATAGTTAATAGTGGATATTCTTTTACACCAGAGTTATTTAAACCAGCCTCTTGCCAACTTCCTGTACATGTATTTGATGGAGATAATTTGAATATTGGAAAAAAAATATTGTTTATTTACCCTTGTCACTCATTACATCCAAGCATTTTCCATCTTGCTTTGTGCCATTTACATGTACAGTATAATGCAGTAGTTTAGCATATACAACTTTCATTTGATTGTCTAAATATATTTTGAGTTTTAATGAATCGCTAGGAATAACTCCTAGGATGATATTCACGGGAAAGCATTAACCCTTAAACTGTCCAAGCAGATCTATGTTCACATGTGTAGTGCTCCAAAAGTAGATCTACGTTTTTTTTACATATTTTCAAATATAACAAAAAAGAAAAACGTAGATCAGAGTTTTTTTTTTACACGTTTTCAAATGTAAAAAAAGAAAAGAAGATCTACTTTTTTTACATACTTTCAAATGTTGAAAAAACGTAGATCTACGTTTGGACAGTTTAAGGGTTAAATCCATAGTCTTACAGTGCCTGTTGAATGAGGGAGACTCATATTTGATCTGAAGAGGGTAGCTCCAATTGTTGAATGAAGAGTCCTTCAGAGTTAATCCATAATTTAGAGTATACTGGACTTACTCCTCTTCATTATAACCCTTCACTTTTGCTCCTTCTGCTTTGAACCATCCACCATCTTTTGAGTCACCTCTAGCTGGACTGTTCACCAGATGCCATTCTACTGACCATCTTTAACCCTTTCACTGTCGGTCCCGTAATATTACAGCTTTGAAGCCAGTGTTGGTCCCATAATACTATAGCAAAATTCTAGCAGCTTCCAATTTTGTGGGAGATAACTGGTAAGCCTACACATGAGAGAGAATCTGAGTGGTCAGTGTGCACAGTATAAAAAGAAATGGTTTACAGAATAAAAGTACCTTGACATCGAGCTCATAGTGGAAATGTTAAATTTTTGCTGATGTTCAAGAGAAACAAATCACATCACACGTCCAATACTGGTGGGTCTAATATGCTTTCACAAATGTGCTGATATTATTTCTACCATTTTTAAAATAATGCAGTAGTCTGCATAACAGTAAATCTATTTTTTTTTGGGGGGGGAATAAAAATTCAAAATGCAAAGCAAGCATAATATAGGAGGGGCCTAGACGAATGACTAATGAACAGACAATTTTATTTTAGTGCTAGAAATGTTTGCATTGTTAATTTTGGACAATATTTTGAAATTGGCCTTTCTTGAATTTTGCATGAACTATTATTATAATCAAAAAGAAGCGCTAAGCCACAAGGAATATACAGCGCTGCAGGGCAGGAAGGAAGCGAGGGCATCAGGTGGCAAAAGGGAGATGGATGAGTAATAGGTTACGGATAACAGCGGGGTAGTGGATGGTGAAAGGGTAAAGGGCAGCAAGAGACTGAACTAGAAAGGGCTGAGGGGAGTGCGAAAAGTATCATGAGAGTTTGAGGAGTAAATCAGTCGTTGTCAAGAAGTCAATGAGAGAGTCAGGATTAAAGGAGGGTCCATCAGCAAGAAGGGAAGGTAAAGAGAGAGTAGTAGAACGAAGACGACGACGGAGGTAAATTCTGCGTGCTCGTTGATAGAGAGGGCAGTCTAACAGAATGTGGCTAATCGATACTGGAACTTGACACTGCTCACAGAGAGGAACAGGGTGCCTCTCCATGAGATACCTATGAGTAAGACGAGTGTGGCCAATGCGAAGGCGGGAGAGAGTGGTCTCCCAACCTCGGCACTGATGACAAGAAGACGGCCAGTAACCTATGCTCGGTTTATAGAATGAAGTTTGTTACCGAGCAGAGTTGACCAACGTTGTTTGCCAATGGGTGCGAAGGTGGGTAGCTATTGCAGCAAAACAGTCCAGAAATGGAACACCTCGATAGGAAATTGGTAGGTTATGTACTGTTGACCGCGCAGCAGTGTCTGCCTGTTCATTGCCCTGTACGTCGACATGACCAGGGACCCAACAAAAAAAATTCTTTATGTTTGGTAGAGATACGGCGTAGCCAAAGTTGGATACGGAGAACGAGGGGATGAGATGTATCAAATTTTCGTATAGCCTGTAGAGCACTAAGGGAGTCTGAGACTACTACAAATGATGACACAGGCATAGATGCGATACGAATAAGTGCTGCAAAATGGCATACATTCAGCAGTAAAAAATGCTAGCTGAAGATAGTAAATGCCCCCGCACGACGCTGTCCGGAAACACTGCTGCGAATCCGATGCCGTCTGAAGACTTAGAGCCATCTGTGTACACAGCGGTGGCATGAGAATGGGAGTGGAAGTGATCAAGAAAAAGAGAGCGGGAAGCCACCGTAGGCAGTTGAGCTTTCGAGCAAGGGAGTGAGAAAGAACAGACCCGAAAGCTGGAAATTTCCCCAAAGGGGGGTGGGAAAAAAGTGAGATCTCATGAAACATATAAAGGTGGGAAAAACTGAAGGGAAGACGAGTGAATGTAGGGAAGGAAAAGGGACCGAGCAAACAGGGTGGCGAACGAATAAAGAATTCTACAAATATCGGTGCCCGTTCTAAAAGGGAAAGGATTGTGTAGATCTTGAAGCGTACATGTAGCGAAGGCAATGGGCACCCAAAGGCGATCAGACAAGGATGGAACATTCGTTTCGTATAGAGGCTCTCAAAAGGGAAAGAGCAAAAAAACCCCAAAGGCACAAACGTAATCCTTTGGTGATGGATGATTTAAAGGCTAAGAGAGTACAGGAGAGGCCGCGGAATAAATCTGGTCACCATTCGAGTTTCGAAAAATGAGGGCTAAATGAAAGGCGAAGCAGATTTCGCGATCACTCCCCAGGAAAGATGGGGCAAGGGTTTTTAAGAAGGTTTTTGCCGGCGGAAAAGTTGCCTTCAGAGAGGTAATGTGGGTTTCCGGGAAAACCCCGACGGTCAAAAGGGAAAAGGGCCTAAAAACCCGACTGTTCACATTGGGGGGATACGGGAGCCATAGAGATACAAAGGATGTCGGAGATAAAGAGGTCTAGTGAAATAATTTGGTGATTTTTGGTACTTGAAAATTTAAAACCCATGGTGGGGGCCAAGGGGAAACAGGGCCCGACCGCATGCGGAGAGAAACTGCAATAAGATGCAGTCAGCCCCTGCAAAAGCAATAGCGAAGCATCAACATAGAGTGATCCCCAAATATTGGGTGGAAGAACAGGGCCAAATATTTTTTTGCAAGGAGAAAAAAGTGTTGTGCTTAGAACACACCCCTGGGGGACACCTTCAGCTTGGACGAAGTCGGGAAAAGAATTATTGATCGAACAAGGAAAGTCTGTAGTTAAAACATTCTTAGGAAGGATGGTAGATTCCCCCTCAAGCTAAGGGAAGGGGCCCGGGCCAAAATTTATACCTCCAAGTTGTGTAAAAATGCCTTTCAGGTAAAAAAAATATGGCAATAACGAGTGATTATTCGCAAAGGCTTTTACGAACATACGTACCCAAAGCGTGAAGGGGTTTGGTAAAACGACCCTTACGAAAGCCAAATTGACTAGGGGAGAGACTGTTGTGTGTCTCAAATCCCACATTAAACGTCGATTTACGAGAGTTCATCACTTTGCAAACTGCATAGTAAGAGCGATGGGGCGATAGTGGGGACATCATGTCCTTATACCCGGTTTTGGGAAAGGAGAACAAGGGCAGATTTCCACAGCTGGGGGAAGAACCCCTTGTCCCCAAATAAGTTTGAAAGGTGTAGGGACTAAAAGGGGCTGACGATGTAAATTTTTGTAACATGAATATGAATGTCGTCGGGCCCCAGCTGCCGATAGGGCAAGCTGGAGCGTTCCCTTTCAGTTCTTGAAGGGAAAAGGCCACTTTATACTGTTTTTTCCTCTGAGGAAGAAAAGTCCGGGATAACCTCTGGCAGCTTTGAGGGAAAGAAACAGGGGCATAGATGGGGGCCCCTGGGAAATAGGACCAGATGTGTGCCAAGTTCAATGGGTGGAGGGGTTTTTTGCTACATCAACACCAGGGACCCGTTAGAAAGGAGCCGGGTCAGGAGAGTATTTCCCCATAAATTTTCTCACTTTTTTCCAGACTGCACTCATAAAGAAGCAGGGGTGATGGTGGAAACATAGTCTCGCCAAAAGAAGTGGTTTCTTCCGGTGACACAGCGAGCGTTCATCTTCTGCTTAAAATCAAGAAGCTCTCAGGGGTTCTATTGTCCCGGGGTACCTGCCCCATGCAGCATGTTTCAAAGACTGCACGAGCCAACAGGAGACCCCCAAAGCCCACTTTGAAAATCCCCTGCTTGATTTTTTGGGTTTAGAAGAAAAGCTGCAGATAAACTGCTCGAGAAGATGTGTAGGAGCTCATCAATGGAGGATAAAAAGGGAAACCCCTCAAAAAGCAGTGGGGTGTGAGTAAAACCCCAATTTGCCCGATAAAATTTGCCGCGAGGGTAGGGAAAGTGGTAAATGGGAAAAGAAAAAAAGAATGATGGGAAAAATGATCGCGTCTTTAAAGCCCGGGTAGAACAGACCGGTGAAGCTAGTGCAGTGGGGGAAGAGCAGACTGATAGATCGATGCAAAGGGGTATGAGTCGAGGATAAAAAATGGGGGGATTACCCTATTTAAAACATGGAGGGGGGAGGGGGCGAGAAAAGCCTCCAACTGGATGCCATGGGAGCACAATGAGACCCCCCCCCAGGGGAAATGGTGGGCTTTTTAAAACCCAAAAAAGAAAACAGAATGGTGGGGGGAAAGGTAAACCAAAAAGGGCAAAGTCTGGGAAGAAAAATGCTCGAGAAGGAGAAGAAAAAAACATATTGTAAACCACTTATTAAGTGGATAGGGCTGCAGTGAATGCAGCGAGGTTTGGAAAATAGTTTACAAAAGGAATATCATTGCGTAGAAGAGGGCACTTTCTTTAAAAGGGCCCCATTGAAAAAGGGATCCGAAGAATACAAAAATTATACCCCTGAGATGGGGTTGGAAAACACCCGAGTGTAATTTTGGTTTTTTGTAAGCAAGCCCCAAACGGGGGAAAAACCCGGGAAAGCAAATCAAAGCTCACCCCGTTAAACCCCCCTGAGCCGCGGTTTTCCCCACGTAAATAGGCC